ACAGAACGCCCCTAATTCAAACAAGCTTATTAGCCGAACATGTGCTGTGCTCTGTTGGAGACATATGGCATTTTATTCAGGCGGACTAGGGCCACAACACGGAACGCGGTAAGGTCCCACCACGGTGCTGGTGTGCCCAGGGTTACAGTTCTGTCAGTCACAGGCTGCTACTCCCAAATCAACTCGACCGCTTATAAGAAGTGTCAGTCAAAGCCAAGGGACTCGGCTATGTAAAACTGCTGACACAATATCAAAGTGCCCTCTGCAGATGTCATTTTTTGTTTCATTTTTACATAAAAATGTAAATGTTTTAGGATTATGAATATTACGGTGCTATTAAAGGTGCGAATCGATTGAGGGGTCCCAAGCAGGAATACTTCTTGTTTCTACAGAAGGACTCACACTTCAGTTGACTATGGCTGGCAGACAGGCTGTGAAAGCGTACTTAGATCTTGTGTCTCAGGCCTGCAGGGCTGTACTAATATTCCTTAAACACAACAAAATACCACATACGGTGGAAAACATTGCCATACGAAAAGGTGAGCAACATTGTTGTGAGTGTGTTGTTCAGTGGAGACTGTGAGAGCTGTTTTGAATGCATTTGTAAAGTCTTGATGATTTGAATCCAAACCTCTATAAACGTTATGCTGAATATAATGTGTTAATATTTATTGTCAGAACTCTTTATGAATTCAAACTTAATTTTATTTGTTGAAAATTTATCTTTTTTTTAATGCTCTTGAACTTGAATCTCTAGGGCAGCACAAAACACCCGAGTTCACCAAACTCAACCCCATGCAAAAACTGCCCGTGTTGGAGGACAATGGATTTGTTCTCACTGAGAGGTAAGAAGCGAGCATGTAGCTACAAAAACAGATCAAACCTTATTTTGGGGTGTGATATTCTTCTAAGCTCTGACTTTGTGTCACAGTGACGCCATATTGAAGTATCTGGCGACAGCCTATAATGTCCCTACGGTTGCCCAGTAGTGCACAACACAACGCAATTAAAAAAGGAAACATAAGCTCACAACACAACGACATTAAGCTCACAACACAACGACATTAAGCCACAACATAACGACATTAAGCTCACAACACAACGACATCAAGCCACAACACAACGACATCAAGCCACATCACAACGACATTAAGCCACAACACAACGGAAATGCTCCCGACCACTAGGGGGCAGTTGGTCTACAGAAACGGGAAATGGACTCTATACTCGGCACACAGCCTACGTATTTCCGGTGAAATCTCAGGGGGCATAAAAGGTTCATGAATCGATACATTAAAATTACCAGGATATCAAAACATTCAGTAAAAACACGTTGTTCATTTACAAATCGATTACACACATTAAGATCAATCGCTTACATTGAGAATTTCTTGTGGCGTCTCGAGGAAATATCGGTGTTTAACTGTCAACATTGCCCCCTAGTGGCCGGGAGCATTTCCGTTGTGTTGTGAGCTTAATGTCGTTGTGTTGTGAGCTTAATGTCATTGTGTTGTGAGCTTAATGTCCTTGTGTTGTGAGCTTAATGTCCTTGTGTTGTGAGCTTATGTTTCCTTTTTTAATTGTGTTGTGTTGTGCACTACTGGGCCACCGTAGAATATGAATGCCAATGTCTTCATTCGAAATAATCTAGCCTATTATTTATGTATTACAATAGTGGGAGAAATGCTTGTAGCTGAATGCTTTATTATTAAAGGGGTCATATGATGCGATTTCAAGTTTTCCTTTCTCTTTGGAGTGTTACAAGCTGTTCGTGAATAGATAAGATCCCTGAAGTTGCAAAGAAACATATTCTGTTACACCAAATACACAAAATAATGATCTTTAAAAAAGCATCATATGACTCCTTTAAGATCAGTAAAAGAATTTAAATGATTTGTCAGAAAATAAACAGAAATAAACCCACAGCAGCTGCCTTTGTAGCAAATATTACTGCAGTCACAAGCATCTTTTCCCATTGTTTCGTCAATGTCTCTTCTGTTTGAGTTTAAGTCATCCTTAGGGGGAAATGTTGCATCAAACCAACAAAAGGCTTGCCGACAAAAGTTCCCCCAACTCCAAAGGGATTCTGTGCTAAAATATTTATACAGCTCTCAAGTGTTTGATGTAGATACACAACTGGAGTCAAATGGCTGTTCTTGGCGAGAACAGAGTGTAAAAACAGAGTGTAAATCAGGGATACAAGGGATAATTCCTGTTTTGTTCAAGCGAAATGGTTCACAAAATTCCCATTAATCCATGCCTTTATCCCAGCCAGTTCATATGATATGGTAACCGTGATTTTACCAAGTCGGATATTTTCCTGGATCAACATTCCTGTTGGTCCTGCAACAACATTCTTTTTGAAGATTTTGTAAGATTTATTATTTTATGTTGTAATGTTTCAAAAAAAAAAAAAAAAAGTAAAAACTGTAATATTGTGAAATATTATTACAATTTAAAAGAATTGTTTTCTATTTGAACCTATTTCAAAACGTAATTTACTCCTGTGATGACTGATGGCAGGCTTCAGTGTCACATGATCTTTCATAAATCATTCTAATATGTTGATTTGATCAGTGAAAACAGTGAAAACATTTGTGCTGGTTCATATATTTTGTGACAACTCATTTTTATACAAATGCACTAGGATCAGGAAAATGTCTTTTCATGACAAAATCATGTTTATCCATATGATATTTCTTTGAAAAATCAAAATCCACACATCTGAACATGAAGTGATGTTTATTAGGCTATTTTAAAATGCAACACACACACACACTAATCTTATGATGACAATTAATTTATTGTTAGTGAATACACTATGTAATTTATTTTACTGTCGCCTCTTTGCCACTAATACAGTCCTTGTCTTGTGATACATTGATATATGTATAGTGTGACTTTGAGCAGTGCCTCTTATACCAGGATGAAATTTATGGATGGCATGAGGAGACAGGGCAAGTCCAGTTTGGCGCAGTGTAAGCATTATTGTAATGTCATGGTTGAGATGGCTCATTCTCAGTGCAGCCAAAGGCAGTCATAAGTGACGGAGCTGATAAACTGAAACCCTCAGCTGTGTCATTTTCATTCACCCTGGTACACACACAAACAAGCACAAACATCATGACCTTCCATATTAACTGCTGCCTGCACGGAATGACCTTAGAGGTGCACTCTGATTTTTTCTGCACTGTTATATAAAAGCAAGAGCACTTAAAAAAAAAAGTTTACAGTGATGTACACTCACATGAGCGATTCGGTGTCTTAGTAGCATTAAAAAGTTGCTTTGTTTTACAGTGAACCGATTGCCTAATTAACATCGTTAATTAACTTGCATGACCAGCTGAACAATTTTTCTCTGTAAACCTCTATTTTTGGACATGTTTGCAAGGGGAATGATCCATAATTTAATAATGGCTTACTGAGAATAGTGCATTTCTACAATGACATTAGTAATAAAACACATTTACTTTTGCATGGCTTCTTTGAGCTTTTTTTCCAGAATACAGTAATGAATTTCCCAGTTCCCATAGCACAATAACCACTAATAGCAGTTGTGAAATATCCCCACCTGCTGTTTGAACTGCACCCTACATAATGTCATTATTATCTTTAGTTTGTTTCCCATTTCCTTCACTCCCCAAAAAGTAAATGTTTTTCCTCTGTTATAGTTGTGAAATATAAATAAAAATATAAATATAAAATGTTTCAAAAGATATAATTACTGAATTGTTGAAGACATTTTATTTGCAGAAAGATGCAACTGACCTTGTTTATACACATATTTTCACATATTTATACAGAAAAGGAGGTATTTTACAGTATAAGGTCAACCGTCAACTGTCAACCAGACTACAGACTGTAGGTGGCTATAAATAGCATGGCCTATAGTGGAAGGATAATCAGCTGTTGTTGCAGTTGAATTGTTTCGTTTGTAGTGAGAAGTTTGACCGGGTGTGTTCCTGTGGTTATGATCAAGAATGTATGGGAGAGTCTTTAGGTATGAGTTTTGTGTCAGAGATTTCTCATACAGTACTGACCTATTGGCACGTTTGCTTTTATGAGGAAGTGTAGGCTATTCTTGTCCAAATATTAGCTCAAGCTCATGTGTCCATTTACCAGCAAATGTTTTGTATATCCCAGTTAGTTAATATTAAATCAGATAACCCTTAGCCTATGTTAAGGTCATCAGCTGTCAAGTAAATATTATTTATTTATTACATTTATTTATTAGGTATATTTAAGTATAAAAATATGTAGGCCTACCTAACGAATAAAAACTTTTTGAATTACTATAAACATTTGACTTACTATATTTATTTCAATATCAATATCTTTATGAGTGCTCTGAAATATAAAATGAGACACAGTTAGTGTAGACACTTTTTAAAGTGGCTCTTGCACATGATCAACTACCACTGAGCATGAATTAAATATTAATAGCATACCTGCATGGGTAGCTAAATAATATCATTCCTGTCTAGGTATATTTAAAGGTAAGCAAATGACCTAATATTTTCTTATTAGACCAGCTGCCCACGCGCACGCAGATCACGAAAAGTGGCGCGAACAGAGTGACGCGAAAGTGTAAACAAAGCAACTTTAAGCTGTTTTTCTCAGCAGGGAGCCAACAAGACTTTCTCAGCATGTGTAGGACTCAAGAAAAAATGTTTATTCCGCAAGTTATGTTTTCTCAGTCGGGTATTTTTGGCTGGGAAACACGTAGGATAAATGCTAGGTTTATAGACAGGTTTAACCTGACTAAAATAATCACTCACTTCGTACTATTGTAATTTAAATCATTAGCCACTATTCGCCTAAGTTACTTGTTACCTGCCAAAAAGCTCAAATCTGTGAAGACTGTTGTCATGACCGCAACACAACAACAAATGTCCAAATGCAGTCTGGCTTTAATACAAATCTTACAAGGTATAAACAAGTATCCAACTGTTTCAGAATGCGCGTGTGACTTGCGTGAATGTTAATCTGACCATGGCTTCAATGTGTAACTCGATCTGCATGAAGTTACACTCTTACAGAATTGGCTTTGCTCTAATAAAAGGTAGAATTTCGTCGGCGACATCTGTGCACTCCCAGCATCAACATCCCGCCTGATTAATGATGCCCTCTTTCTTTTCTGTCGGCTTATAACTGGGACAAAGACTTTCTCCAAGTTTGGCCTGCCCCTTTAACAGCAGTGCAGCCCTAGTGGTGATTATCGGACTGTCCGATTCCCTGGAAACTCTGCGGCATAGCTCTCACTTTAAACCGGGATCATGGCGGCTCCGCTCGGGCGGGACACGCTACCTGAACACTGGTCCTACGGAGTGTGTAGGGATGGCAGGGTCTTTTTCATCAAGTAAGCAGCCTATGAAGGGTTTAATCACAGTCGTTGCATTTTATCGTGGTTCTGGTGAATCCGCACCTTTCCCGATGGGTCTCGTAACAGGTGTTTCTGTTTTCTAGCGACAAAACTCGTAGCAGTACTTGGCTCCATCCCCGCACTGGTGAACCTGTCAACTCAGGACACATGATACGATCAGGTACGGTAATAAACTATGCTTGCTAGTCTAAACTTTGCACCCTTAGTCGGATACTGCGGTAAGTGTGTTTAAAGTGAACATTGGAAACACGTCCTCTGCATAATTGATGGTTGGCTACTTTCTGTTTCATTAAAAACTTAATGGAGTATTGTACAAATATTTATCTCCCCTTAGATTTACCGCGGGGATGTGAAGAGGGCTTCACCGAGGAAGGCGCCAGCTACTTTATAAAGTAAGCGATAGTAAATTTCTGGTTTTGTCCTTGTGAGACCGTGAGGATGCGAGTGCAACTGCAAAGCCCTCCCCAATAAGTGCTCACTCACTCCCGCCTCTCGCAGTGATCAGTGTCCGCTGTCTGCTGCTCATACCTTCACGAGTCAAGAAAAGACAGATAACTGAGTCCAGTCAGAGGTTTGACTGAATGTTTACTGTCGACTTGCTCTTCAGTGTAGATTATGTGAGGCAATGACATCGGGCAAATGATTTCCAGCTATCAGTCTGGTTGTCCATTGGTTTGTCCAGTTAACTGTCTGGTAGTTTATCTAGTGATCCATCTGATTGTCATTTATTTATTCATCAGTGTGGCCATCATTTTATAAATATTCACATCCATCCATATATCTGTCTATCCATCCATCCAGGGCCGTTTCTAGCCAATTTGACGCCCTAGGCGAAATATATATATATATATATATATATATATAATTCTTTTCAGACACCAGTTGCTTGTCACAT